GATGGCTTCACTGTGGGCATACCAAGCAGATCTTCTCACAGTTGGCATCACAAGGTCCAGCACCTCCTTCCTCTGGGACTTGAGGCAGTCCAGCTGAAACAGGATGTGCCTAGGCCCTTCGACCCCAGGAGTGCTTGACCTTCACGTTAAACCAACATGGATAATACACTCCAATGATGAATTCCACAATCAATTGTAGATTCTTCAGTTTCTTTCCTTTAAGTCTGTGCTTTGACACCCAGAGCCTGAGAAGTCTGTTTGCTGTGGTGAGCCAGCGGCTGTGGTTTACTGGTCCAATCTCCAACAGAGCCAGCCTTGCAGGAAGCACTCCATCCCTGACTGCACAGACAATTTTATAGCCATAGTGTTGATCAGTTGACAGATCTTGAATTACCTTGTCAGGCAGCTTGATCAGTGGAGGGCCAACAAAGATCCGGGTGAAGTTATGATTGATATCCAAGTCTGTAACGGAATCAAGGAGCTTTCCAATTGGCCCAGATAATTTGTTGTCTGACAGAGTAGGGCCATCAAGGCCAACAATGAGATGGCGCAGGGGAAGTTCACCAGTGTGCAGGTTGCACACCAACCACACCAGCTTTCTCCTCCAGGTGCAGCTCCAGCTTTCGCATTACCCCAGCTTTCACACCAGTGTTGACATTAGTTGAGTCTCCTCCAATGGCCGATAAGGTCTTATCAAAACCCCTTTCTTTCAGCCAGGCAAACAGGACCTTAGCAATCTGCTCAGCATGTGAGTCCTCTTTAGTTGCTTTCTCTGGGGTAAAGTGGAACAGATAGTTGCTGCCAGGCTCACCAGCAACACTATAGTGTTCTTCTTTGATCTTTGCAGGAAAAGATTGGTCACTGCCCTCAGCTTCCATTATCACATTTGTCAGGTCAATCCGCCCATCAAAGAGGATGCAGGAGATCCCCCCCATCTCCCTGCACTTCTCCTCAAACTCTTCTCCCAGCTCTCTCATCAACTTTTCCTGTGCTCTCTTGACCTTGTTCTTATCAATCACTTTACTTGTGTTGTCTTCTGTGATGATTCCTGCATCAATCAGAGCTGCAGTTGCTATCGCTGCAGTTGGTCTCAGCCCTATGTCATACCTTACAGCAAGCACAATATTTGGAATATCGTCATCGTTTTTCTGTCCTTTTGTTGAAGCTGCAGGCTCAGGTTCAGTTTCAGGGAAGAGCTCAACTTCAGGGACAAACTCATCTTCAGCACCTCTCTCCAATTCCAGATCCTCATCACCATCTGCCAAAAACCTCTTAACATCCTTCCTGGCTGCCTTGTCTGCTGCTGCAGCATTTCCCTCCTTGCTCCTTCTCCTTTCCTCAGCCATGTTTTCCATCCCCTGCCTTTCCAATGTCCTCACCTGTCTCTTGTGCTCCTGCAGATCAGGGGCCCCCATTTGGTGTGGTCCTTTACTTCAAACCTTACATTTCTGTCCCTTGATGTATGCAAGATCTTTTAAAGGAATCCTTTTCTCTCTACTGCAAGAACACTTAATGTGGGCTTGGATCACACAGCCATCACAGCCTCCCCCCTCACAACTGGTAATCTGACACTTGCAAGTCAAAATATCAAATAATTTGTCCAACTTGACATTGAACCTCTCTTTGGCATCAAGTTTGCCCTTCCCAAGGGAACACTTCACTGCCTGATTCCAGACCTCCTTGAGCTTGGACATGATGGTCACCTTTTCATTTATAACAGGTGGCTTGAAAAGAGCATTCACTTTTGCTCCAATCAGACCAGGGAAGATGTCACCCACCAGCTGGTCGCTCCTGTCATCTTTACTGTGATCCCTCAAGTAGATGCCATACCTCAGGATATCCCTCACAGTTGGCAGTTCAGACACCAACAGCTCTCGCCCAGTGCCAACAAGATTACTCAAATGAGAAGAAGATTTTGCCCTTGTTTTGACTTTAGCAATTTCAACTAGTTCACACTGATACACAAGTAAGTTTCAATTCCTGTAAGTTTCACTTCAGACAGGATCATAAAAGCCCTGACTTCAAAATAAAAGCCCCCCAACTTAGTCTGTTTTTTCCAGCAGAATAGCAAAATAATCAAAAAATAGATAATAATCAACTGCAAATTGATGTAGGTTAGGTTTATCAGAATTGAAAAATGTCTTCAGATTTGTGTTCTACATGCCAAAATACTTTATTTGAACACCCCTCTCGATCGATTTACAAAATAAATTCAATAATGTACTTACATACCAGGATCTTACACTATTTCCCTGCCATAAAAAAGAATGTTTGACCAGACCAGTTGCCTTTCTCAAACCTTTAGGATGTATTTAAGGAGACTCTTACCACAGTCGTACATGCGGTTGATTCTGGTGATGTCTACTGCACTGAAGTCCAGCCGCTGGCCGATAATCTCATTAAAATACGGTATGCTGGTGGTGATTGTGGGGATACTTTCGTTCTTGTTGAATGACAGAGGCCTGTAGTGCATAATGGACTCATAATCATATGGTGTGCTCAAATCTGTGATGAAGTCATCCTGATACTTGTTGAAATTATGCTGCATCCCTGTAAGGAGAAAGATCATGTAGATAGTCAGGAGACAGTATATCAACTGCTTCAAACAGCACTACCACATAGCTTATGTATATGCTAAAACTCCTCCCTTTCTTGGATGCTCCACCAGGGAGTCAGCTGGTTTTTTTCGGTAAGTATGTGTATTATTTTAAGGATCTTCTTCGATAATAAGCATCCCCATTAATATCACAGTTAGTTGGTTAGTACGGATCTACTACCAAGATAGCTAGCTAGTGTTAGCTGGTAACAAAGTATTTGCTATGCTAGCAGCTCCAGCCCTTTGTCTTAACTTGGTTACTTCTGCAAAAAACTACTGGTGGGTTTCTGATGGACAAATATGGCGTATTTCCGAAATCCTGGTCACAGCACTAAACAACACAAAGAATATAATTGTTGTGACCCACCTTCTTCAATTTCGTCCCACCAGATTTTGACATAGTCATCTCTATCTGAGCGAGACTGCTCATGGTAAAAGCCGAGAGCATGGAGGAGTTCGTGCTGCACGATGGCCTTAGTGTCGCACCTCGCCCCAATGGACACATTCTGGCCTACTCTATCATCCCCAACAAACGACCAGCATCTGAATTGATAAAAAGGAAAATTCAAACGATATATTCAAACTAAGGAGCTGTTATTGGATCTAAATTGGATCATTTTCTAGATCTTAACATAGTGGTGCAGTGATGACTTGTATTTGACCATCAAAAGGGATATTTTTGTTTCTAATACTTTTGTTTCTGATACTTTTGTTTTCTGATACTTTTGTTCAGCAGGATACTTAATTTTATGATTTAAGGCTAGATAGATAGATAGATGGATAGATATTTTATTGATCCTAATCACAGTGACATGACTTTACGTCACCAGCGCTAAGCTAAAGGCGGCTAATTTTAGCAACTGCTAAAATAGACGCTCCGCACATTCACAATAACATAGACTTTGAGATGAGGGAACCAGAGGTGGTCAAATGCTAACTAATAACCGGGTTTGAGGACTCATTTCTGCACAACTCTATGGTTTTGATGACTTGGCAACATGGCTCATAAAGTTGTGCAACAGTTCTTGAATCATTGCAGCTCACCCATCCAGCTTGGTGAAGGAGACATAGCTGCTCTCTCCCTCATAGGGCTTGAAGTCCACACAGGACCTCAGACGGTACTCCTCAAAAGCCTGGAGGATCACACCTTTAGCATTCAGATCTAGAAAAAGGGACATTTCCAAATCAGCACACGTATATTTACCTACTCAATGAATTTGTTGGTGGAAATATATCCATTTGTGTACCTAAAGAATCCGTAAGGATATAGGGGATGGGAAACTTCCACCTTCTTGTTTGATCGATGATTGCATTCCTGTTGGGCTGCCAGACACATTGAAGCTTTTATCATACAGTATGCTTTTTAGTCAGTTACAAACACCATCACTAAGCAGACTATACTTACATCAACTGCAATGTCTCCCTCAAACAGGTGGTTTAACCCTAAGAATTTGTAAAACACATGTTTAATGCATATTAATGTCACGCAACAGACGTACAATCACATGCATCAACAGGGCTTAACAACGATACCTCTATTGATGTCAAGTATGTCGTCCCTCAGTTCACCAGCATCTGCATTGTCACCTTGAAGATGTATTTATTGTTAGAGAAAAAAGTAAAAGAAAAGCTTGTTTTTTGTGCATATAATAAATGAAGGAACCAACCGGTAAGTGGAACAGCTTGCACCTAGCACAGAAAAAAGAAATGTGTCTTGTGAGAAATTTGCTTTCCATTTCTGTTTCTCAACGTGATTCCATTTCAATTGGTTTAAAATGCCATACCTTCAAAACTGCAAATATTCCAATCAGCGCAGCAATTTTCCTCAAACCGTTCGCAGAGCCCATATTGTTTTGCAGACACAAACGTATGTCTCTGATTCCAGTGTTAAAGTGCCAATAAAGACAGCAGCTGGAGGGGGACTTTGATCAGCGTTATAGTGTATAATAAGTAACAGGAATTTCACACGTGTTCTCATAACCGACCGTTATACAACTGACATGCACAGGTAATGACAGCAATAATAACATGGACCCAGTACAAAGGCAACAGAATTTGCAATAAATTATTATGAACTCTGATTTGAAATCACAATAAAACAGGCAGTTATGTTGTTTACAGGTTTGACCTCTTTGTGGCTGTGGATATCTGTATTTTACAAAGACATAATGCTGAAACAGACCCCATCGGAATAAGCCTTGGTTGCCATGACAGATACAGTTGTGGTTACTGGGAGTAGTTACTTAAAGTCTCATTGAATAAAGAAACATGTCAGCTTAAGAGCTATTATTGCTATGTAATATAAGATTAAATAAACCTCTATTGATCACTGTATGGTAATTCAGGTGTTGAAATATGAGAACAGGTAAGAGTTAAAAAAAAGGATAATTAAGGACACTTACATTATATAATATGCTAACAATAATTTAATTAGGTAAATCTGTAGGCTGTGATTCACAGATCTGATCTTAGACAGTGGGATCCTACTTTTTCCATAATGCAGACAGCATTTATTTTATCGGACCATGACGACCTGTGTCAAGAATCTACGGGTTACATTATTAAATTACAAAGTAAATGTAATCTCCTACAGTACTGTAGCTCCTTTGGCCTATTTTTCGAATAACGCTGGTCTGCAAAGCCTTTAGGGTGCCTTTGAGTCCGGACTTCATTCAGAAGTTAATTTTTTAATAATTGTCATATCTATGTGTTTAAAGCATCCTGAGTCTGCCAACCCTGCAACAGCCAACCACAACAAGGCGCGATAGCTTGGATTAGATTAGATTAGATATACTTTCTTCATCCTCAATTGGAAAATATTTTTGCCACAGCAGCATGTTTACAGGCATTATGCATGAGTTACAAATATAATCAGAGGTGTAAAGTAACTAAGTACATTTACTCAAGTACTGTACTTAAGTGCAATTCTTCTTGTCCACTACAATTCAGAGGTAAATGGTGTACATACTGTACATGTTTATTTTTTATTTTATAATTTGTTGAACTCTATTTTATAACTGTTGACATGCTGCTCCTACTAAAGAAAATATGATGTGGTTGGACAAGAAGGCCTTCAAAAAGTATCCCACTGTAAAAAAAAAAAAGGTCAGAAAAGGGCTCTAACGTTACTTTACAGTTACTTTAAATATAACATTTTAAGCAGGGCAACTTTACTTATCTCCAATTACCTCGAGAGCTATGGTGTTCTTCCTCTTTAAAAGCTATAATCAATTAAAGGGTCAAGCATCCTTTAATAACAAATGAAAACGTAAAGGTGGGGTAGGTAAGTTTGAGAAACCGGCTCGAGATACACTTTTTGTTATATTCCATGGAATACTCTAAACATCCCGATAGCAATGAATATTTTAAGTGCTTTGACAATAAATCCATAAAAAAATGTCATCTGTGGAAGCCGTAGTACTGTAAAAAGCACGACCAATTATTTGAGCCAGCCCGGCTAAAATAACTGGAGGGCCTACCTACCTGTCAGCCTTCCATCTGTGCACAAACTTATCTCGTGCCCTCATTGGTCATGTGCGCGTTCGTGTGTGTTGGAGGAGGGGCTCTGTAAGGAAGTGGCAGATTTTTTCCGGTTGTGTATTTTCAAATTCTAGCGCACTCGAGCTGGTTTCTCCAAAATGACCTACCCCACCTTTAATATAAAAGTTTTTTAGATTTATGCTTGAACAATACATTCCTCTAATTTTATAGTCTCTTATTCTAACTCACATAGAAACCATTTTTACATCGCAAAATAAAAGAAACACACCACAGGATTGTTTTTTGATAGCTTCATTTAATAGCTTTTACTAGGACAAGAGTTCAATGCGGAACACATATAGTGATAAAAATTATTTTCTAAAGCTTATTCTTCTGTATTTCACCTTTCATATATATATTAGATACCAAATATATCTTCACATTTCAAGCTTTCTAAAGATGATGATGATGATGATGATGATGATGATGATGATGATGATGATGATGATGATGATGATGATG